TTTTCAACATAGGTGCTAACAATCATGGAACCCAATTTTCGGCCACTAAGGCCACCGGATTTTAACACCACCACCATCTCCTCATCAACCCTAAACATCCCCATGCAAATTTCAGCCTCAAATTTCAGCAAAGTCGAGCCAAATTTTGCCTAAAAACCTCTTCTCACGCACGGTATTATTGCAAATTTGACCAAATTCATGGATGCCCATGTTCCATACAACCCACAGGCTACTCAAGCTCACCAAGACGCATCGATACATGTTCCAATTACATCAAACAACCCAAAAAATTGAGATCTACAGCCAATTTTCGAGTCAACAAACTCGCGGCCGACAAAGCCATTTTTCGGCGACGGTGGTGGGACCCATGATCGCCAACACCACCATAGGACACTACTCATCATGGCGCATTTACTGAGCATATGGGTCTTCCCCAATTCGGCGTTGAAATGGCTATTCGCCCAAAAACAATGAACACGCATAAAAATCGATCATATCCCCTTTCAATTGACATCCCTCCACGACTCCAATCTACAAATTTCATCAATTAGCATGCAATTGAAGGACATCCCTCCACGACTCCAATCTACAAATTTCATCAATTAGCATGCAATTGAAGGTTAAACGACGTTGGATATGGATTTAATTGCTTCAATTCATCAGCCAAATGCAACAACTTTGGAATTGACCTCACGAAATGTGCGGCCACACGAAGAGGATAACTCTCCATCAATTCATGAGCCTAATGTGTCCCAACATATGAATCAACCTGGGGAAACTCAAATCCAGGCCCAAAAAACACTGGATAATCGTTCAATTTTAGAAATTACAGCACTCATTTGCCAAATTTTGGAGTCAAATAACGTTCTTCACACACTTGAAAAAGAAGGAACAGAAACTGAATGCCATTTGTAATTTTTTAAGAACTGGAGACTATGGTTGCAATTAGTTATTTGTTGCTTCCTATGTTTTCTTTTGTTTTATTTGAATGGAGGGTAATATTATCCAAAATTGATGAAAAGGATATTCAGTACCAAGAAAGGTGGAAGGTAGTGGCAAAAATGTCAAAAAATGAAAGATAAGGACGTTTTCCACAATAGACATGAAAGGTAAAGATGTTTTGTGCCAATTACTCTTTTCACAAATTTTCAAGGAGTTCACTTTATCAACACATTTCGAAATACCTACAAGTATTATTTATTTATCCATTACATATTTCTTTTTATTTATAATTTAAACATATTACAAACACTTCCCAAAATTCTTTTAGGGGAATAATTATCGTTATTAATTGGAAAATTGGAAAAAAAAAAATGGTCTCAAGCATTTGTCCATCTTGTGTTTTTGTCCAAACTCCAAACCTTTAAATTTTAGTAAACCTTCTGTGAAGATTGTTTCTGTGCACAGGAAATTAATGTTGAATATTTGAATGTGATCCTAGTTATCCAATTGATATATATTTTCTTTCCTAGTAAAAGAAAAAATCATGAAAATAAGACCAACACTTCTAACAACACAATCGTATCTTACCAAGTCTATCCCCATTCTTTTATCCAACCATTGAGCGGGAGAGAGAGATTTTATTTTATTTTTTTAATATGAAAATCAACTATAATAGGATAGGAAGATTCTTGATTGGACCAAAAATATTTAACATACACAATCAATAAAAATCTAAACTATTAGTAAATTGCTTCAAATTACTTTCTTTAATGAAATGAGCAGTGATAGCCCAGGAATTAATGTAAACCAAAGACTTCATTTGAATTATGTTTTCTTACTCGTGGAACACGAAGCGAGGAAGGTAGCTACATCAACAGATAAGAAACATATTTAGGTAATTTCAGAGTCTTAAATGGCCCGCCGCACTCTAGAGAAACTGTACACTAATTTGGAAACTAGAAGCTAGTCGATTTCCAAATGAAACTCAATCTTAGTTTAAAACAAGGATTGGTTTAAATCATCGATAGTGACATCTCTATTTGGGAACATTGGAGAAAGTGAAATCGGTCCCTTACATTTACAATTGTTTATTGGCGAAAGCTTTCTTAGTCTATATTTAGCTCATATTTTTATAAACTTTTCACAACTGGTAATTGGCATAAAACGTCAATACCTTTCATATCTATTGTGGAAAATGTCTCTACCTTTCATTTTTTTTGACATTTTTGCCCCTACCTTCTACATTTCCTGGCGCTGAACGCCCTTTTCACCAATTTTGAACAATTTCACCCTTCATTCAAATTAAAAAAAAAAAAAAAAAAAAAAAAAAAAAAAAAAAAAAAAAAATAATAAAACAAACAAAAAAAAAAAAAAAAAAAAAAAAAAAAAAAAAAAAAAAAAAAAAAAAAAAAACAAAAAATAAAAAAAGTTTTTCCTCCAAC